GGGGAGCGCGGAACCTTTTGCAGTTCTCAGGCGCAGACGCGCCTTCTTGTCGGTGAGATGGCGAAGAACCCGCGAACAGAGCAGTCCGCCGAGTGGGCCCCACGATCTACTGCGTCTCTCGCGCGTCCGAAGCAACCAGAAGGCACCCGTGCTCGGAGTTCTGAATCTGCTGGAGTCCTTATTGAGCGATACCTGAAGAACCTAAGGACCTCCCAGGAAGAACTAACGTGAGTTGTCAGAACCACCCCACATCCCATGGAGACGGCGTTCATTCATTGTGTGTGTGTGTGTGCGCGCGCCTCAAGCATTGCATGGCGAGGGAAGTCCCCGCCTTAATACAGTTCCACATTTATCCGAAAAATGGTAATCGCAGTAGGCGTGGATTAAGGCCCGGCCCCCGGGGGGGAGGGGGGGAGATACTGTCGGTTACCTACAGGGGTTTTGTATCGAAAATTGCAGAAATTTCAAGGGGTCACTAGAGGCCACAGGGGAGCGCCCAGCTTAATCGGCTCCTGAGTCGCAGATACACTTGCAGGCTAGGCAATGCGTGCGTGCGGGTTTGCCTATCGACCACGGCGTGCCCATAGGCAACACTGCTTGCGCTTAGTTAACGGGGTTCTACGGGTATCGCTACTTGGTGATACGGGTCTCTCGAGACCTCACTCCGTGGTGACCTGGTGACCCAGGTGACCCGGCACCCCGTTACCGAGGCGGAAGCACGTATGATGAGCAAGTTGAACAACATTTTGCCAACGCTCTACAGGGTATGAAGTCTGGTCGCTGTGCCCCGTCGTAGAAAAGGCTTTTTCTAGCCCGCATGCAGACGGGTTGCCTGTTGCACGGGGCTACAAGGCACCAAGGATAGAGACGATACGCAAATCCGTTCGCACCTGTGCATACGGACGAGAACACGCATTCGCTCCGACGGGCACAGTAGTGACCACCCTGTAATAGGTCGGGTGCCGTGTACTGGGACCCGCGGAGTAGAGTCCTATAGGAGCGCGTATAGGAGTTTCATGGGACTCTACCGCGGAGCAGGCCAGCTGAGATAGGGTATGCGCGGGTCCGTTGCCGCGTGCCGTCTGTCCGTCCGTCTGTGAGAAAAAAATTTGAGAAATAATGTGCGCACAGCGAGCATTGCAATGTGGTGGGGAGAGGTCTGGGAAGCGGAACAAGGCAGGCGGAGGGAATGCCCAGAGCTTTGGCCGAGGGGAAAGCGGTCCTATATTGGAGCAAGGCGGGGGCGGGCGAAGCAGACAAGCTCTGCAGGCCTGCACAATATATGCAGCATTGCGCCACGCAGGGAGGGACTATGCGGGCTGCTCGCCATCATCCTGTGATCTAACCAACCGCGGCTCCCGCTGAAGCATTGTGGAGGGCTCATGTGTGTGGACAGTTTCGCCGTGGACTTCCCCGGCGGCGGGCGCGCCAGCGCGCCGGCACCCGTTGAGCCGGCCGTGACAGTGAAAGCTTTTATCTTTCGGCTTTTAGACACTCCGGTGTGGGCGGTCACGGTCGTCACGTCGTCACAAAGAGGGCGGAGAGATAGAGAGAGAGGGCGCACGAGAAAAGGGGGGAGAAGCGGGGTGCGAAGACGAAGTAAGAGAAAGAAGCAAATAAGAGACGCTTTCCCTGCATTAACCGGGAGGCGAGCTGGGCTGTGCGGGTCCCCACTCCGTGGAGCGAAAAAACAACCGTAGTAGCAAGCCCAATGTCTGCCATCCAATCCAGACCATCATGAAATCGGCTCGGCTCGCGGCGTCCTGCCGCTGCGACGTGACGCCTCGGTGGCGCTCGTGTCACAGCTGACGGCGCGCCCCGGCCCCGGGGATGGGCGCCGCCTGGGCGCATCCTGGCGGTGCAGTGGACCACTTTCTCTGCAACGGCAGTGTGTAGCCGGACAAAAGCCCCCGCCCGGACCCGGGGGTCTGGGTCCTTGGCCGCGTCCTGCGCCGGGTGGGTCGTGCGTGTCAGGTCCGGACACAAGCAGCGCCGCTCCGATGACCACCCTCCGCAAAAGGACGACTGCGAGGGAAAATCGAGGAGCAAATCATCTTGGTCTTCTAATGCTCTCCCACCCCACTTGCAGGTCTGCATCAAGCTGGTGGACATGGGGGTGACGCTGGCGGTGCTGCTGCTCGCGGCGCAGTGCCGCGCCGTGTGGGGCATCCTGACGGACGGAGGCCTGCTGCTGGGAGAACAGCTGGGCGATCAGCTGGGCGCCGGAGACGCGGGTGGGGCGCGCTGCGCGCTGAGGGTGCAGCGGGAGCTGGACTCGATGCGGCGCGCGGGCCCCGCGGGCGCGGGCGGGTCTCGCTCCGGCGGCCACGGCCTGCCCAACACCATCGACCTCACCGGCTACGCGCTGCACCAGCCGCTGCGCTCGGCGCCGTACGACATGTACGTCACCGGGATGCGGGTGCGTGTGCCGGGGCAGGCCGCCTGGGTGAGTTGCTCGCGGGCCGACGCGGGCGCGCAGCTGGCACTCTAGTGCTGGTGCTGTTTGAATGCCTTACTGGCCGTTCCGTCTCGCAGGTCCGCGTGGAACGCTGCCAGTTCGACGTGCGCAACCACAGCTTGGACACGAGACTCCTGTTCCGCGACCTCACGGTGACAGGGCACGTCAAGCTATACGAGGACGCGGTGCGGCCGGCCGGCACCTGCACGATGACTCTGCGACTGCGACGCGCTGGACTGGGCTTCACCGCCGTGCCCGCCGTGGCGCCTCGCCCCGTGCCGCCGGCGCCACTGGCCGGCCTCGGGCGCCGTGACGCCCCCGCCCCTCTTGAGGTGCGCACGGATGCCCGCTTCGTGGACCCGGACTTCGTATCGGTGTACGCACACGGGTGCCCGGCCCCGGGCAACAACGTACACATCGAGCACCGCTCCGACGACGTCCTCCAGCTGTCGAGAGACGGCGAAGAACCCAGTCAGGATTTGTCACAGGTAACTACTACATGTACACTCTCTCAAATCGGCACGCCACTTTGAAAGGGCGTTCCACCGTTGGACTGTTGTTGGGGTTGGGGGTTCCCCAACTTGCACGTTATCAACAATTATTAAAATCTCTCGCGTTTTTCATGTAGGACAACGCAACGGGCCAGTCTGCTCGAGCTCGAGCGCTGCATCACGGCCTGCAACAGCCTATCCAAGTTCGAGACGACGACAGGGACTTGAGTGGTGAGATGGAAGACGTGTTCTTGCGGGGCATCCGAACGCTGTTGGCGCGCTACATGGAGCGTAGGCTGCAGCCCGCTCTCAGGGATACAGTCATGGCCGGCATGGGGTACTCGGTCTCGTACGGCCGGTAGACTAGTGGTGTTTGCGTATTTATTTGAGTTATTTATGAAGTTCAAAAGACTGAGAAACAGTGGTGGTTATTCTATTTATTTTTAATATC